GATAGAGTTCTGGACCTAGAATCAGAAAGACCCGACTTCAAGTCCTGCCTCAGATACTGATGAGCTGTGTGATTCTGGGCAAGTCATTTAACCTCTTTCTGCCTCAGTTTCCTCACCTATTAAATGGGGACAATTACAGCGATTACGTCCCAGAGTAGTGTGGATAAGATTAAACAAAATTTATAAAACACTTTGAAAACCTTAAAGTACTATATAAATGCAATGATGATGGTGAAGAAACGTACTACGCACTCTCCGACAGATGAAGGATTCAGTATGCTATTTGAAACATATTCTTTAAAAAAAAATTCTTTTGGGACATGGCCAATGCAGGAATTTGTTTTGCTTGCTTATGCATTTGTTAAAAAAGGTTTGTTTTTCTTTCTTCTTCAGTGGAGAGGGAGATCAGAGGGGGAAAAAGGTAGGGTTTTTTTTGTTAAAATTTTTTAATTTAAAAATAAGTAAAATGACAGGAAAAACAAAGCAACGTGTTAGAGCATCTCGAACTATTAAATCAATAAGCTGTTTGAGAATTGGAGTCTCTGAAGAGGTACAATGGACAAATGGTCGAGATAGATCATAGATCCTCTATGAGTGCTGGTTTGCATGGACTCTGTGGTATTCACTCTATTCCATTTTAGGCCAGTTAGTCAGACTATAGTAGACTGCTCTGCATTTCTTTTTTTCAAGAAGTTTTATTATTCCTAGCATAGGTGTCACAGGAACAGTTGCTTGTCTTTCATGGAGGCTTAAGAGCAAAATTAATCCCATGGACTTTAAAAAGGTTTTGAAGGCTGCAGAAAAGGAATAACATGCATTTTGCTCTTCTTTAACAGGTTCCTAATATTCAATCTAACCTGACCATCTCTAGAATCAGGTCTCAACAAAGCCCAATGAAAACATTAATGGGATCTTAGAAAGGATCTAGTATAGCCTCTTTATTTCACAGAGAGGGTAACTAATATTCAGAGTTTACCCAAGTTCACACAGGTAGAAAGCAGAGATGGGATATAAACCTTGTCTTCTAACTTCAAATGCAGCTAGTGACATTACAACTACAGCACAGCTATATAAATGACTATGTATATATTAGTCCTTAGTATTAGTTCTATATTAAGTACTGGGAAAGATGGTACAAATAAACCCAAAAAACTTCAACAAATATTAAGCACCTACTATAACGAAAACACTTTGTATTAAGCTCTGGCAATACAGACAAAAACGGAAATTAGTTCAGTACTCTAGTTTACATTCAACTTCCTATCAATGTGTTGTCCATAAATACCCCATGAGAGGTCCATCAAAGGAATATTTCAGCAGTGGCTGGAGGGCTATTTCATCAGGTATATTACAGGAAGAATTCTTGTTTTGGGGAAGGCTATTTAGATGACAACTCATGATCTAAAGTTAACTCTTCAAAAAATTAACAAGTCTTATCTTTGAGAAGCATGTGACCTACTCAGTTTAATAGGTACGATGATTGTTGTACATGAGATTGAACATGATAAGGTACAGGTTTTACAAAAACTTATGCAAATCGGAGACTCGGATAGAGTTTAGATATGAGGTTCATTTCAAGACTAGGAAGTATAGATATTTCACTGATGACAAATGCACAGCAAAAACTGCTTGCTTACTACACCAAGCAAGCTATTATTTGCTTTTCACTACTGGTTCACTACTCCTAAAGGGAAAAAAAAACCACCACTTGTTTTTCGTTTGTGTGTTTGTATGTATGCGTGTCTTTTGTTAGAAAGCTGAACCTCTGTGTTCTGCCTAGCCCTTGAAGAATTAACTTGTCACTGTTAACAATTGTGCCTATTAGGTTGCTTGCTGATGCATACGGTACAAATATGCACATTCAAGGAATGAATTTTTCCAACAAACTTTGCTTAAATTTTCCAAAACATTCCTTTGGGAAGTGACAGTAGAGGGAAAATAATGAATTAGGAACTTTGAACTGGTGTCAGATCATAAGATAACTAGAACTGCCAAGTATCTTCTCCTATAGTTGGTATCTTAACAACCTACAGACGGTGGAAGAAAACAAACTAGATTGATAAACTTCTCAAGGGCAAGTTCGACACTTTTATCCTGGTTCCCCTGCCCTCCCCAACCTCACAGTCCTTTCAAAGTGATAGGTATTTGCATTTGTTTCACAAATACAAACACAAATTACTCTGAATCACAGAATTTCAATTAGAAATCATCCTGTCCTCAACACAACTTTCCTAGCACCTCTGTAGTCTGGGGAAGTAGGTATTGATTACTTAAAATATAACTCAGTTGTTAAATTTGAAGTGGTTCCTACACACCTAGCAGAGAAGAGGGATTTAAAGTTTGGGAAACTGTTCTTCAATCTCTGAATGACAAATAATTCTACCCACAATACTAATTTTTCATGTAATTGTAAACTTAGGGTAAAAAACAAAACAAAAAAAACCCTCTTCTTCCTTCAAGGTTGTTCCTCAGTAATACTGAGTGAAACTTCCTAACAGATTTTCCTCTGCTTCTATTATATAACTTGATAAACGGATAATTCTAATAGGCAAAATGTCATAAAGCTATGGTTTTTTTTCCTCTCCAAAGGAACTACCAATTCAGATGTCACAATTTCAATTATCCATTGACTATAACTCACATAGCAATACTCTGTTAAATATTTCTCAAATGTGATCATTAAGGATCAGAAGATTACATCAGAAATCTAATCCAGCTCCCTATTCTCAACAAGTAGCATGTATAAATGCCATTTTTTCCAATTTAAAGATAACACAGGAATATTCAAGTTTTAAAAAACTCATTTTCAACGTTTTGGTCATCTTATCAATGGACAAATGACAACTATAACACTCCTGTCTACATGTCATGAATGTTAGGCAAAAGTTCTAGTATCCGATTTATGGCAGCTGTAATGTAAGTGCAGCTTTAAATTCTACAAAGGCAGGGACTAATCAGTGGACTTGGCAAGCAGTTTCTTACATTAAATCGTCACTGTGTACATCACACAGCATACTCTTACTGAGAAGTGATATGCTCTGCAGACTAAAGACAAAGACAAGACATATGTCACCTGGGAGAAAACTAGGATTCTCAATCGGAACCCAGACAATTTATTTTAAATTAGAAAAGATGAATCAAATGTAAAAAAAAAAAACAATTTATTGAGCCATAACATCAAAAACTAATGAAAGAATATCAAAAGTTTCCCCAAATGCTAGAGATATTTCGCTATTCCTAACTAAAAATTTTAGTTCTACACCTAACTTCCTCAACAAAGTTTTCTGTTTAATGGGCAAGTTGTTCAAATAAGCTTTAGTTAAAATGATTATGGCTGTATTTTCCCAAGGCAGCTTTTATTCCTATAGACAGTTCCAAATGTCCTTTAGATTTTACTCTCTTAGCATGAGAAAACATCAGGATTTCAGCTTGGTACTTTTAAGTTATGTCAAGAAGACATGTTTATTAGTAGTATTAAAACTCCCCATTAAGTGAAACATTTTACAGTTACCTATAAACATTCATTTAAAACTATTTACAATTTGTATTATGGAAGATTTGTATATTGTAACCAATTAAGTTATAGAAAAGTTACATAAACAATATAGGTTTGATGTCCAATCCTTTACAAATATGAAAATTCACTATCACTGGGTTATCAAATCGTCAAGTATAAATAGTTATGAGGTCAGCAATATGTAAGATGAGGCACTTTAACAATCACCCAAAAAGGTAGTTGTGTACAAAACTATAACAGAAATAGCTCTTAATATTCATCTTGTCCTAAACTTCATAAGTGATTCATTGGAGATTCTCTACATATAGTCTCACATGCTTTATATCTCTTGGCTCTCTGCCTCTACTTCACCCAAGGCAACATAGCTAGGAAGTACATAAGAAATAAAGGCATCACTATAGTCCATTTAATGTGCAACAGTACATAAAAATGAGAAATTTCTATAGGTACATGTGTTTCATGAAATAAATGCTAGGCTTTCTGCATGATTTACACCCAGAAAGCTATATATTTAAACATATTAATCTCCCAAAGCCAAAATCAAACCTATTTCTAGACAAAACAGAATCTCTACTCTACTCCTAGACACACACTCCCAAAAGCCAGACTGATATTACTCAGTTATTTTAACTATACAATTATATGTGCCATGTGTATTCTTATATAGCCATTCAATTTTTAAAATATTCAGGGATATTTTTAAAGTAAATTTACCAATGCTTTAAGATTACAGCTCAAGATGACATCAAATTTTGGTTTCTCTGAGATACCTGTTCAAGTTCTCCAAACTGTTTCTGAAGCATCCTTTAAGTGAATATACATATTTCGTTATTCCAGCCATACTCTTCCTCCCTTTAGTATTTTACCCCTGAACCATCATCTCTACATCTGTATTGTATATTTAGGTAGTGAACACAATGAATATTTGTTAAATGAATCAAATAATAGAAATAACTTTATTTAATGACACTAAAAGACTTTTAATTTCAAGTACTATATTTTTACCTAATGCTTAATGTCCATAAAGCCACAATAAATGAAACGGTGACTCACAAATGATTCAGAAGACATAAAAATCTTGGTGTGGTAAATGATTAGACCTAGGAATTTTCAATCCTGTTATCTAATAGTTTGCAGGTAACATTTGTAGACAGTTGAATCTTAAGTCTATGCAAAAGATCATGTAAAATTCCTATTTCCCTAGATAACCAACTGTTCTTTAATAAAAATATTACATAATACAAACATGGGCACTTCAAAATCCATTCTTCCCAGTCCCTTGCATTTCAAATTTTTATTGTATTAAACTGGTATTTTCTCAAAAACAGACAACCCTTAATTACGACAGTTTCTCAACTTTAAAAAGTCAACTGTCAGCCTGTATAACACTGGATATGTTAAGTCTCCTAAAATCAGAAGCCAGAAAATTTCAAAACTAATGGAAAGTAAAAATTCTTACTTACTTAAAATGACAGAAATTAAATTTGGCAAAAGTAATGACTTTTATTTACAAATACATGTATCAAGATTACAATAGAAACACTAGTGAAACCATCTGAACAAAAGCAATGATTTATTGGTAATGGCATTAAAGGAAACATTGACAGTCTCTGGCTAGGGTCAAGCAATTATCCAGGAGCCGTAGATAAAGTGAAGATCCATTTTGATTGCAATAAGGGTTTTCCAGTGTCTTCTGCATCTTAATGGCTTTCTCCTTTCTTACCAACTACCTAGAAAGAAAGAAAAGTAAATCTGAATGCATAATTTGATTTGGAAATGTGCATTGGTTTTAAAAATACAAACAAACCTTTCCCCCAAAAAAACCAGTATTAATTTTTATCACTGCATCTTTTTGGCATGCAATCTACTTTCAGTACTGGAGCAAATTGTGACCCCGCCCCCAGTCACTAGGTTCTCAAGACTGCCATGGAATAAATGGAACACATGCAGGTTTTTTCTGGCTTTTCCACACAGTTTTCCAAGCACGGTTGACAAATTTAGAAAAGTTAAGAAAACAAAAAGCTCCTATATGAGTAAAGCAGAACATATTTTCCATACTATTAAAAAATTTTTTTAATTATAATTAAGTGCCTACTGAAAAAAGTGTGAAGTTAACAGTAGCCTAAATCCATCTCTTCATGCTGTTGACAGGTTTCTAAATTTCTTCTACAATGTACAAACATGCAATAAAAAGATGATCAAAAACAACTAATTTCTGCACCAGAGAGATGCTATTTTCCTTAATGCACACTGTTTTCTACTAGATTCAGTTGTTTTCAGTTGATTCTAGCATACTGGCTTCAATAAAAATAGAAAGTTCTAAAAACGTAAGTAAAACCATGTTTCTGTCAAAAGATCTAGCAGTTTATTTTTGAATTAAAATACAATGTTTACATCCTAATAATACTTAATCCTAAAAGTCTACAATCAAAGAAACTGCATGTTAACAGCAGATATAAGTGAATATAAAATGCACTACAATTCACCACTTACAAAACTGTCTCCTGACAAGAGCAGTTTTGTATCATGCAACATTCATGCCAAGTCACCAATATACAGGCTGTCCCAAAAATCTTTTGTGCAGTTTTAAGCTATTACCTTATGTTTTAATTTATTTCTTATCACATTAAGCTTTAAAAGCTTAAAGCTGCATTAAGACTTTTGAGACACCCTATATATGACAAATGTAAAAAATAAAGAATATGGCTCAGCCTAACATAGTGAGGGACTAAGTTCAGAATGCCATCTACTGCTTCAAAGGTCATTTATAGGTTTAGGGGACAGATCAGATGATCTTTCAGATCCCTCCTTGGCTCTAGCATTCTAGGACTCTAAGCATAGGTTTTTCTCCTATAAAGGGGAAAATATTCTAATGACTAACAAAACTGGATTTTAATTCCAGAAAGAACTACATCAAGAAACTTTAAAAACTAATAATAGCATACACAGTTTTAAGACTAGGGAATTGGGAGCAGAAAGGAGGAGCAGCTAGGTGGCGTAGTGGATAGAGCACCAGCCCTGGAGTCAGGAGGAACCGAGTTCAAATCTGGCCTCAGACACATAACCCTCACTAGCTGTGTGACTCTGGGCAAGTCACTTGCTCCCAATTGCCTCAAACCGCCCGCCTCTCCCGCCCCCCAAAAAAAGAACAGGCAATGGAGAAAGAACTAAAGAGTGTTTAAGAACTACCCAGGGCAGTGAAAGAGATTCAATTGTATCAAGAAATAATTTAAACAGATTATTAAAAGCATTTATTCTTCACTTGTATTATTGTGGCAACAAGCACAACAGTGAGCTTTTGGATTACGCAAACAACAACAAAACAAAACCAAAAAAAAACCTCACTAATATATTAATTAAAATGTTAGCAGATGTGTAACAGTGAAGATACAAATCTGCATACTGGTTTCACAGGTTGATACCTCTCAACTTGCCAATGTGTATTCTCTGTAAAAAAAAGAAATTAAGCATACCAGTACATTTGGATTTCCCACCCCCAAGCCCTAAGGGTTTTTTCTTCCTTCTTCTCTGAGCCCATACATCACTCCACTGACTAACAGCATCTAAGGTACATCAGTACTGGGCACAAAAGATTTAGTTTTTGGAAAAAATTCAGACTGCCTTCTATTTTAATATTTACCCCTATCCTACCATCTGGCCCTGAGCTTTCTGTTATGCTGGGCATCTTTAATCTAAATTTTTTAAGCTTAAAACATACGGAAGTTAGATCAAAAACAAAAAAGAAATAACTACCTCTTAAAAGCCTTCTAATCTATCAGGATACAAAATGAATCAGAAATAAGGTAGCTTGCACCTTCTCCCACCCTTCTCCAACTCCCAAAGCCTTCCTACCCAAAACATCATGTGAGTACAAAAGAACATGAAAATGTTATCATGGGTTAAGCAATATTTAATTTGCTAATTGAAACAAACTAAAAGATACAGGATATCCTAAAAAAAAATAAAGCAGCCTTCAGGACTGATTATTCCGTATCACATTAATTTAGCAAATGTAAAAATTAAGTAGAATTGTACTTCAAATCATGATTCAAAGTACAACTTCTTTAGAATGTTTTATGAAATTAAGTACAAAACAGCGGAAAATTAAAAATTAACAGAAAGCAGTATAAGACATACGGTATGGTGAATAAATAAAAGCACTTAGTTGTAAAGAAAACAAAATTAATAGCCCAAGTGAGAGAAATGACTAAGGTGGGAATTGAAGAGAGATGGTTGATGAAATATGGATACAAGAAGGCTGATCCAGATGATAGGAGCTGCAGAGAAGGCTCTTGCACCAGCAATGGTGATACTGTGGAAAGGGTGAGAGCAGACAGGTGCTAGATGAGCAGAGAAGCAAGGAGGGGAGTAGAGTGGGACAAGATCAATCTTTATATTACTTCATTTAAAAAAATCTTCTGTGTTTTTAGTTCATTTGAGTTGGATTAATCAGCTGAAAAATAAACAGACAAAAGTGTTACAAAAATAGCTGGCAAATGTGAGTGGCCAATTTAGAGGATAAGGGGAAGTACAGTTTCATTACAGTAATAAAAATCTGCTTGGCTTTTTATTTGCGTGTCATTCCCACAAAGAAATAGAGACAGAAAAAGCACCTACATCTTTGCTAAATACCTATTTTTTGCTCATTTAAAGACAATAGCAATTTTGGTTTTAATAAAAGTAGTAAAACAAAGCAACCTACATAAATAGCATATTTTAGCACCAAAAAACCCCTACTCTACTTCCCCAGATTTTAGACTGCAAGCTTGTCATACAACATTAGAGATTTTATATTTTATTTTTCCCTCAAGTTAAAATTCATAAAATGATCCCGCCTCTCTGAAAACATTTTAAAAGCTAATTAATGACTACTGCATCAATCCAGTTTGCAATCAGTAACGTTAATTTTACCCACTCTTATTTTAAATCAATTGTTATATAGCCTGAGAAATCACATGATGGCATGTGGGGGTGGGGGGATGGGGAAAAAAGAGAATTCTAAGGTAAAAAATTCTGTTCACATTCAAATATGAATCCTTTAAGCATTACCAGAACTTCAGTAAAGATACAATGTTAGCAATACAATGAGAGTCAACTCTCTCTCCCATCCCAAAGATAATAAAGCTAAAAGATTCTATTTTCTGCTCTTCAGAAGTGTTACAACAAAATATTCACTGCTATTTGCTTCACTACACACATCAAATACTTATTCACTGTACTGAACAGAACTGCCTAGGTTAATTTTAACTTGACCTGAAAAAAATTTTTTATTAATAAGCCCATTTGGACTGAGTAAACAAAAGGAAAAGAATTACACTTCTGGCCTTGTCAGCAAGCCTCATGTTCCTTGATTCCATGCCTTTGCTCATGCATTTTATTCCAACTTATAAAAGACCATGGGGCAGGGGCTGTTGCTTGTATATCTCCTCCAGTGCTTTGCAAGCACACAGATATTTGTTGAATGAATGACATGGCCTCCCTCCAATCACAACTAAATGGGTTGGCTGAAGTTCCATTACCTTGCCATGAAGACTTCCCAGAGAATCTTTCTCTCTTCTGAACTATGCCTATGCTACTATTGACTGGTACCTGTACCAATCCTGTAGTAACTCTGTGACATTTCTTTCATTACCATTGGTTAGATAACTTTCTAAAAGTCTTATATAACTTTCTAAGTATTTATACCTTGGCCTTCCTAACTAGACCAGAAATACTTTTAGTTAACAGGAAATGTGTTTTAGATTTCATTTTCATCTCCACTAGTTAAATAGTTATGTAAACAATAAGTGTTGAATTTCATATCAAAACTCATTTTTAAAATAAGCATTTCCTACTCTATAGAATGTCAACTATCAATTCCAAAGAAAAACTCAGTGTCATAAAATCCCTACTTTTTGACTCATTTTTTGCTTTCAACCAACTGAACTGATATTACATATATCACTGACACATATTTGCTAAAAACAACAAAATAAGTGACTACAACAAGAAAAACAGATTCATGTAGGCCTTCAAAAGGAAAAAAAAGTACATGTAATATTTACTAAGTCCAAATAGGTAATCAATTCTTATTAACTAAACATGTTATGCTGAAAGAACAGGAATGGAGGGGCAAAACATAAAAGTGTAATAACAAGAACATTAAACAAATTAACGAGATAAATATAAAGCAAAGTACTAAAATAAACAGGCACACAAGTCAAGGATAGTATACTTGTAACACCTTGGTGGCCATCCTGAAGGAGGCAGGTCCTGAACTGGTCTTCAAAGAAGAAAACAATATTGATTTGGCAAATGAAAATAAAGTTGACTAGATTAGATGTGAGGGACAATGAAAGTAAATGCATAAAGACCAGGAAGATATAACAGTAATAAATACAAGTAAGGAAACTGAGTATAGACAGATGAGAGATGAAAGATAAAAGGTATATATGAAGTTTATGTGTGAATATATTAAAAAGATCTTTGAAATCAATTGTTAGTATAAACTGTAGTGAGGGATGACAATTATATGGGGCTAGAGTCAGAAAATTAGAAAAATAGAAACACAAGCATATGCCATTTACAGGGTTATTAATAACCTGCAAAGAGACTGTAAGTGAACAGAGGACACTGGAGTACTCCAGATGAGGCACAGCACAGCTAAAAACTGTTTAAACAAAGTGCCATTTGACTTTGACTGACAAAGCAGTCAATCAACTAAGAACTGGTTGGTTTGTTTTTTTTGGTTCACACCAAAATTTCCCCCATTGGCTACAGTTATTTTTCAACGTTTCATTTAATTCAACAAATCTAGGTATATAGTTTGTTTGAGAAAATAAAATAGTTCAAAATGTGATTAACTTTCTGGAACCATGACAATACTTGGGAATTTCATTTGATCATAGACTTGTAGATTCATCTAATGCAAACCTCATTTTTCAGATAAAAATGAGGTCCAGGTAAGTGACTTGCCCCAAGAGAGGGCTGAGATTTGAATCCAAGCCCTCTGACCTCAAATTTGGCACTCTCCAGTATCCCATGGTTTCCCACCCATATCCAGCTGAGATATTTATCAATGTTTTCTGTTTTATAAAGAACATGTGATTCAATAAAACCATTTACAGTAAAGGATATGAGCATGTCCCACTCCTGAATTGACTAGCCTCCTCACCTCTATTCTTTGGAACCAGCCCCTTCAAGACTCAGCTCAGCTCACCTTCTCCCTTCCAGAGAGCTTGACTGATTCCTGGTTGTTAGTGCCTCCCCTTTTCTAACCTCCCCCATACCAGTTACGTGTATTCTATTTAAGTATCAAACCCTAGGTCCCCAAAGCTACCACATATATTCAGAGTTCTCAATAAAGGTCAGTTGATATTAAAATATAAGCTGTCTTTTTATATTAAGAATACTACAATATTTAAAAACTAGATATAAAGTTCCACATCTTGTGAAATGCACTCAGTCCACTTTTCTTTTGGAAATGTAGTATTTCTGTACAGCAGATTCCTTAAACTGCTTTGTTTTTAAAATATATCTTCAAATAAAACAATAATCAAAATCTTTGTACCACTGCCCTTTAAGTTGTTCACTACAAGGTTCTACAAGTACTTGGCAGTCAAATATTCCATTTATTCCAACTCTTAACTTTAAGCTCCAAATGCTAGCAATATTAATGCCAGCCATCTTTCTTTCATTTCCCCTGTAACTTGTCTAAAGTACCATTAGCTAACACCCAGCATACCAAAAAGAATTAGATGTTAAAGATACAGCTACTAAATCCAGTAAGGTGCCTTTTAGCTGATGAGACAATACATCTTATTTGATAATATAACTATAATCCCTATGTAGAAACTCAAATTTCACATTGTTCCAGGATAGAAAATATGATTGTATCACTTAACAGTAACAAAATAAATGTAAATACATTTTCTTTAAAGAATAATCTTTAGGCTTCACATTTCCTCTAGGAAACCATTATTTAGAGCAAACTTACTCGTTTGAAGTCATTCATATTTGTTGCTTGAACTGGAGTACCAATAAATGTAAAATATGAAACTCTTGTTGTTTCTTCTTCACCTTGATTGGACTGAACAAATAACTAAAATAAAGAAGAAAAGGAGTTTTTGTTATCTACATTTACCAATGAATTTTTGATGAATGTGCAACAACTTAGATTTTTTTTTATATTTATTAAGTAATTTCCTTCAGGTTACATCTAAATTGCATTACAGGTAAAAGTAAATGGAATTAAAGAACAAAAATGAAATTTAAAGAATGTGTTCCTAACACTATATCTTTCCAGGGCCTCCTTATACCATGACTTTCACTCACTTAGTTCTTCTAGTTTCTTACCCTTGCTCTAAGTGTTGCCATAGTTAAGTATAATACATATATACACACATACACACACAAACACACACACATACACACACACAATAAGAAAAAATAACTGTTGAATGGCAGAATTTCTGACGTCTTCAGAACACATTGTTGAAAGGTTCATGTAGAAAGTAATCTCCTCGAAGGCAGGGGCCATTTTTATCTTTGTCTTTGTATCCACAGTACCTAACACAGTACTTGGCACATTGTTGCTGTTCAAGCATTTCAGTGTGGCCTGGCATATAGTAGGTGCTTAAATGCTTGCTGAATTTAACTGATTAAAAACATAACTCTTCAGATGCCTCAGAAGGGACCCCAGGTCTTCTCATTCTAAATCCTAGGCTACCTGATGTTTAAGCTCTTTACTACATTTAGAAAAAAAAAACATTACTTGAAAATTAGTATATTAGGGGGCAGCTAGGTGGCACAGTAGATAGAGCTGTGGCCTTGGAGTAAGGAGGACCCAAGTTCAAATTTGGCCTCAGACACTTGACACAGTAGCTGTGTGACCCTGGGCAAGTCACTTAACCTCAATTATCTCACCAGGAAAAGACAAGAAACATAGGACCTCCATTTTCCTGAAAGGCTTACATTTAACTGTTGTGAATTTTTTGTTTTTGTTTTGATGATTCCAACTTCTGCTTTTTTTTGATTCACCTGATGCACAGTAAATTTTGTTACAGTCTCTTATTTTTATGTACGTCTTTGTTTTTTAGGTGCGTTTCTTATAAGCAACAGATTGTGAGGTCTTTTTTCTTATCCAATCCGGCACTCTCTTTCATTATATTGAATTATTTAATCCATTCATATTTTAAATTATGTTAGGTTTATATTTCCCTCCATTTGTTCCTAATAACTTTTTTCTTCCCAAATTGCTTTTTCGGTTCCTATTCCTTTTTCTCCCCCCCTCCCCTTTTTTTCTCTCTCTCTCATTTTGATGAGCCAATCAGGATTAAATGACTTCTCCAAGGTCACACAGCCAGCAAGTAGGATTTGAACTCAGGTCATCCTGACTCTAATGTTCTCTCCAATGCACCACGGAGCTGTCCCTCTATTTCTTTTCTTTTTTTTTTTTGCTTTTTGGTGAGGCAATTAGGGTTAAATGACTTGCCCAGGGTCACACAGCTAGTTAAATGTCAAGTGCCTGAGGCCAGATTTGAACTCAGGTCCTCCTGACTCCAAGGCTGGAGCTCTATGCACTGTGCCACCTAGCTCCCCGCTCTATTCCTTTTTGAAGTCAGAAGTTTGACCCTTCAGTTATTTTTTTAATCTACTTTAAGGCAACCCAATTACCATAGGTTCTCATTTATTCTCATTCTCTAGTTTTGGAATTTTTTTATTATTAATTCCTTTTTCTTTCTTTTATCTAGTTATCTAATTTTTCTCATACATAACCATAAAGTACTATAGATAACAAAATTGAAAATCAACCAGATTTCTTTAGCTGACTTGCCCAGGTGGCTAGAAAATGATAGTAATGGTGGTGGTTGTGGTGGTGGTGGTGGTGGTGGTGGTGGTAGCAGAAGCTAACATTTATGCAGGGCCTACTATGTGCCAGACACATACTAAGTGCTAATAAGTATTTCACATTTGACCCTCACAATAACAACTATTATTCTCATTTGACAGTTGAAGAAACGGGCAAAATGGGTTAAGTGACTTGCTCAAGGTCACACAGCTCATAAGTGCCTATAGCCAGATTTTAATTCAGCTCTGCCTGACTCCAGGCCCAGGGCTCTATGCACTGCTCCACCTAGCTGCCTATAGTATGTGTATAAGTCCAGGATTCTTTTCACTCTTTTCAAAGTCTGTTGGTATCGAAGCTGCCTTTGCAACATTGTTGATAAGTGATCATCCAGTCTCTGGAGGGAATCTCTAATCATGAAAAGCTCACTGCTTAATGAAGTAGCACATTTCTAAATGGAGAGCTCTAGTTGTTAATGCTTTGTATCAGTCTCCCTGTCATTTATACCCACTAGCCTTCTATAGCTACACAGAAATTTTAAAGAATTAAATATATCTTTAAAAATAATTTACTTTTAAAAAAGGCTGATTTAAGTTAAGCCAACATTTTTCATATGCATTTTATAAGACTTCAAAATGTAAAAAATTGGCTAATCTATAATAGGGTGGGGGAGGAATTCAGAAGTTTAAAAGAGAAAATTTAAATTAGTTTAGCATATATAAGGATGGAAGTCACTAAATTTGAATAGCTAGTTACATAAGTCATTAACAAATCTTTTTTTGCTTCCATGAAATATTACTTACAGTTACACTGTTAACATTTTGGAATTTAACATAACGAAGTTGGACAATACCATCTTCTTTAATATCATCTTGTGTTAGTTCCAGGGCTTGAGTTGGTTCACTTCTTTCTGCCTCTTCAAAATCCATAGATCGGGGTAGATTGATAAAGATTTTTATATACTTAGGACCCTGACCTACAAGGAAAAAAGAGTTTTTTTAAACCTCTAGATCAGGAACTTTTTAGGGAAACCTTAAAATACTGTGCTAACATCCAATAATTATTCAGATCTTAAGATTTAAAAAGTATATTAGTGGGGACATACGAGCAAGAAGGCCTTGAAATCAGACTGAGATGAACAAAAAGTTACCAAATTCAATCTCTGGGATATTTTCAATTGAATATTAGCATTAATAATTCGCCCTCACTTTCAGGGCATCCTAAAATCTCTATTTCTAAATTAAATTTGGAGGCAGGGGAAGAATTAGAAACTTGCTTAATAAGAAATTCTTATGGGTCATAAACTTAGAACTAAAAAGCAGTTTGGAGATCTAATCCAACACCATTTTACAGATAAGGAAACTAAGGCCTAGTGAAATAAAATGAAGTAATTAAGGTCCCAATAGCAGGAAAGGAACGTATGTCTTGAAAAAACTTTTCTACAGCATTTTTTAAATAAGTGCTTTAAATTTATAAGCTAATTTTAAATGGCACAGTTTGATAAACAGATAAAATATCTAAAAAGACAAGGGAAAATATAAGTTGACATTTGGAGAATAACTTGAAACTCAATCAGTTTTGTTTTGTTTTTTTTAAAAAAAGGTCACTTAGCCAACTGCTCAAAACTGAGAAATTATCTATGTGCTCAAAAAGGTTGAACCTTCAAAATCTGGAATTATAAGATGGTCAAAATTTCCTTTCTTCCCTCATAACTTTAATATCTAAATAATCTCAAAACAAATAATTATTTCCTGTCACTGAAAAGTCTTAAACATGCACTAACTACTCACCTCCTTCTATTATATGGCAGAATATGTTGCCATACTATTAAGGAAATGTTACCTCTAATAATCTGGGTTTCTAAAGCTAAAATTAGGTCTATTTGGAATCCTGAGGAATCCACAGACTTCACTGCCAACTTGGTGTTTCAAATCTTTGAGGGGGAGGAGAATTTTCCATTAAAGGCTCCAAAAGAACAGTAAATTTAAAAAATAATAATAACCTAGCATCTTCATGCCTTGGATACACTCTTTACAATACCTGATATTTAACTTTAAATGTTTGTAACCTCCAATTTTAAAATATTCCCTTTCTAAAGAAAATGCCATCTTCCTACAGATTAATCTGAATAATCATATATTATATATATCTTAATAATCTGAATTAATCATAAACACCTATGCTTACTATAATCAAATTAACTACTTCATTTCAAGAAGTAGAATTTTATTTATTCAATGTTTATTTAGGATGCATACTATCTGCAGAGCATTGTGTTAGCCACTGAGGAGCACAAAAAAGATTAGCTCAAGAAACATAGTCTCTGACATCATTAAATTCTAATTTTTTAAAAAAGTTATCTATGAGCTGTTAAAACAATGAAACTTAATTTCAACACTTAATGATCTATTAAAATTTTATAATGACATTAAATCATAAAGAATATATTTAAAGTTTATTTTTAAACAGAATCAATTTTTTATCCACTTAAACTAAGGCAGATGTGCCACCCCAGTGAATTTAAAATCAATACTAGAATTCTGAATGCAAAATAAAGTTTCTGTAGTGAGTAGTAAATAGTATTTTTTAGTTCATGTCACTAAAGATGTCAAAAACTCCTCATGCCCATTTGATTCTTCTTGGTCAAAAAATAACCAAAAAAAATTGAATAACTAAAAATTTTAAAGCTAACAGTCAAAAGAAAGGCTATATTTACTCACCATTATCTGGTCCTTGAAATTTCATGGAATAAAGCTTAACAGGCTGATTGAAAGCCACAGTAATAAGCAGCTGTGAAGAAAATATGAGTTTCAACATCATGAAAAGTTTAAGCAGTGATAGGAAAAAAAAGTCCAGTATTTCAATCCACATAAAATATCAAAGACTGGAAGAAAAAGTTATTATAGGTGTGTATAGCATTAAAAATCTCTCACTCCTCAAAGTAGGTTGGAAATAAGAGAAATGTAGAATAAAACACTTCATTTTTCACCTAATACCCCTCAAAGGAATAAAGACAATAAAATATGTAAATAGCTCATGATGCAAGCAATGTCGGAAGACATTATATACATACTATTATATATACGATATACCATTGGGGGAACTGTGAACTAACTATTTTGAAAAATATTTTGATATTATGCAAGAAAAATGTCTCAACTATTGATAAATCATTTGGCCATCCCAATACTAAGCATATATACAAAGAAGGTCAAAGTCAGAGATAAGTCCCTTACATACTAAAATATTTACAGAAACACTTCCTGTGGTCGCAAAAAATCTGAAAATGAGATGTGTACCCCACATTATGGTATATGCAAGCAATGAAATGTATCTCACCATAAGGAAACATGAACATGAGTAACTCTGAGACATGAGAAGTGTTTTATGAACTCGTGCAAATTGTGTCAGACTTTTTCAAACTGTCAGTTATCTTGAATTGTTTTTTTTCCCTCTTTTTATTCTTTGTTATGAGGAATGAGCTCCAGCAAAGGATAGAAGGAGGTGTATAGATACACAGATATATCTCTATATATACCTATATACAGATCTATACCTATATGTGTGTATAGGTCTATATATAGGTGTGTGTATGTGTGTATATGTGTGTGTATGAACATGTGTGTATAGACATGCATGTGTGTACATACATACACATGTGTATACACATACATATATACATGTGTGTTCGTGTATACACGTGCATATATACACATGTGTGTTTATATACACACACTAGATAGATAGACAGATAGACACACACACACAGTGGGAATTTTAGGTGAAATAAAAACAAAAGATGTGAATAGACACTTTTTTTTAAAAGTGCTTTCTTTGGCCAGAATCTCAGAAGGTAAAATGCTGCTCCTGGCAAACTTTCCAGGAACAGAATGAATGGATTTTTTATGTTTTATGATGTCAGGGAAGAGATATTTGAGACTGGAGAGTTGGGAGCAGGAACCCTTTTCTTAGCTCTAAAATGCCCATCAAATTTTTACTCATAGACTCTTTAACATTTAGTATTGCTTCCAAATTTTGAGTTAAACATTACATACCTGTTCATCACAGTCAGATTCCAAGAAGGAAGGGTCTTTGCGTAAACAATTATCAAATCCATGCTCATCGCTTTCATTAAGACATTCACATCCAGCTTTGTTAATAAAGGGCATTAAATCCATCTGGGGGAAAAAATTAAATTAAGATTTTAGGGAAAAGATCTAATGCAAATACCTTAAAAGTTAAGAAAAAAATAATTATTATAATTCTTCTCATTATTAATTGTTAAAGTAAATACATATATAATTTGTAATTCTTACCCCATCTTAATTATTGACTGAAACCTACTATTCATCACCAGATACCACCAGTGCCCCAATCACATATCAAAATCAACTGGCTGCTAAATATTACTGCAGATATTAAAAAACTTGATTCTTTAAAAAACACAACTATCTACGTGACAAGTACATCACTTAATTCTGCAGAACAGAACAATCTTCAACTATGGAAAAAAAAAAGATTTCCCCAGTTATATTAGGTACCATTTATCTTGACCAAAGAGCAGAAAGAATTAAAGTCTAAAGCAGGGGTGAGAAACCTGTGGTCTTCTAGGTCCTTGGGTGCACCTTTTGACTGAGTCCAACTTTTACAGAACAAATCCTTTTATTAATGGGATTTGTTCTGTGAAATTTGGATTCAGTCAAAGAGCCATACTTGAAGACCGAATGGGTCACATGCAGCCTTGAGGCTGCAGGTTCCCCACCCCTGGTCTAAAGGCTTAGCCCACTCAATAATAAATTTATTTGGAAACAACTTACTAATCTACAGACTGCAAATGATTTAACCACATATTTCTCAAACTCAGCAGACTGGAGCAGCAATGCAAATTTAAGATCTCTATAGAATCTTTAAAAATCCTACTTCTTTTTTCCCTCAGCCAGGGATCACAACAGAATAGAATGAGTCAAATTTAACAGGATCAAGTATGATACAGATAAGTGTATTACAATGTCATTCAAAAAGATCAACTTCACAAGTGCAGTGTAGGAAAATGATGAAATAAAATTTCCTGTGAAAAAGACCTAAGGTAGCAAACACTAAAAGCTTTCCCAATAAATATAGGAATAAAACAAAAAAATTCTTTTCTCTGCTATTATTTGAAACCATTTTAGAAATACTAGCAATAGCAATAAGAAGGGAAAGAAGTCAAAAGGCATAAAGATCAGCAAAGGCAAAATTATCCTTGCTGCTGTCATAATCATTTACTGAGAAAATCCTAAATTAAGACAATTAATAGCATCAGCAAAGTTGCAGGGCACAAAATAAACCCATATAAATCAACACTATTTGTATACAGTAATTTCAAAATCCAGGAAGCAAAACAGAATCAAAATAGCTACAAAATGCAAAAAATATCTAAGACAATCTACTATAGTATATTCAATACCTATCTTATCTATTTAGCTAAAAATACAAAACACATTTTAAATAAACACTTTATATTCGATGCTCATGGCTGATGCAGTTCAATACCATAAAAATAACAATACTACCAAAATTAATTTGATGAATTAGTGCCATATCAAATTGCCAAAGGGATACTTTAGCGTTAGTCAAAATAATAACAAAATTTGGAGGACCAAAAGTGCTAATGAAAAAAGGTATAAATGAAGGGGAAAAATAGCACGTCCAGATCTCAATCTACATTATAAAATGGCAATCATCAAAAATATTTGGTATTGGTAAAAAGAATAGACTAGAAAAGGAAAAAAAAGAAATAACAATTCAATAACCGTAGTGTTCAGTTAGCTCCCAAATTCTCTAGGAATGTACTCTATTTGGCTAGAAATACTCAGAACACTGGAAAGCAGTCTGGCAAAAATGAAATTTAAAATACCTTATATCACATTTCATAAAAACAATTCAAAATGAATCCATGACATGAATATGAAAGATGATATTAAAAAATTAAAAGCAGACTACTTCTCACAGCTATGAGTTAGGGTTGAACTCTTAATTGACAAGGACAGAGGCAATTAAAAAATAAATTTGATCACATGAAATTGAAAAGCTTTTGTATAGAGAAATTTAACATAGCAAGAATAAGGAAAGCAAAGGGGGAAGGGGCTTTATATCAAGTATTTCTGATACAGGTCTTGACATCCATCTGTAGTGGACCTAATCAAAAATTCTATGATTTTTCTCCAATTCCATTCAGCAGCTAGTAAACAGAAGCAAATAAGGTGAATGGTGGGAGTGATCTAAGGTTGGGTTTGGGCAACACATAACTGGTAATTTCACAGAGGTCAGGGGATTCAAGATTAGTAGATATTAAAGTGTTGAACTGGTTCACCAAATGGCAGAGATAAGAAAAAAAGAGAGGCTCAGGCTCCGTAATTCTCTGGCGCACTACTACTGGCAAAGCAATAAACCTGGTCTCTGAGTGAAAGAAGGCTTGAGTAGAATTCATTCAAGGCAGGACCTGCGTCTTTTGCTCTTGAATTTTGGGTTCCCAGCACCCCCAGACCTCAACAAAACTTGGGTCAAACCTTTAAGCAAGCTAGGGATTCTATAAGTAGAGCCACCAAATTTATTCTGGCCCTATCCTGTTATCCATGATTGGCTGGACTCATGGCCTTGGCCTTAGGGAAGGACAGTGTCTGACTGGACAATCACAACTGGGAAACTCAGTATATGAATTACCTTTAGTGTCTGACCAATTGTTATAAAAGTCAACATGAAATCACATATTCTGAAAATGTCTATAAAAAGTGCTGATATGAAACTGTATCTTCTGATGACACCATACAATAAGTGGACATCATCAAATGATAAACCTTATTGGTAGGTGTGAACCTATAGGCACCATGCTGGAAACTTGCTTGACACAATACAGGATTTTTTTCTCTTTGGATTCAGGTAGCCACCTGGACTAGGATGCAATTATCTCACTTTTTTTTTTTTAAAGAAATCCTGAGGGGCAGCTAGGCAGCGAAGTGGAAAGAGCTCTAGCCTTGGAGTCAGGAGGACCTGAGTTCAAATACCGCCTCAGACACTTGACACTCACTAGCTGTGTGACCCTGGGCAAGTCACTTAACCCCAATTGCCTCACCAAAAAAACAAAACAAACAACCACCAAAAAAAAAAAATCCTGAGTGTCTGGTCTTCTGGAAGTGCCTTCTCTCTTGACATTGAAATCCCCAAGCATGGCCAATAGCAAACTTGCACTCATTAAAATGAAAGACTGTTATTCCAAAAAAAGAAAAAAAAAAAAAGAAGAGAGAACAGTCAAAAAAGGGTGATGGCAGAGGGAATTGTGGGAAGATGGTGGAATAAGACAGGAAATTAATGGGCTCCTCCAAATAACTTAAAATATTACCTCAAAGTGAATTTTAAAGCAAGAGAAATAATTAAAAGTTGGAGAAAAGGAGTTGTCCAGTCTAAGACAACTTGGGAGGATGTTAGGAAAGATCTGACCTCTTGGGATAGTATCTGGCCAGAAGTGCAGATGCTGTTGGGCAGATTCCACCAAATCAACAAAAAGCAAGCTTCGGAGGCAGTTTATCTGGTATGAGCTAAGAAACAGAATGGTGAATCAGTGGAATAGAGCAGATATACGATACAGAGTACTAAATGATTACAGTACCTTTGCGTTTGACAAATGTAAAGATTTAAGCTTCTGAGATAAGAATTCACTATTTGGTAAAAATTGCTGGGAAAACCAGAAAGTAGTTTAGCACAAACTGGTATGGATCAGTATCTTACACCTTTTATGAAGATAAAATCAAAATGGATGCATGACCTAGATACAAAGGGAGATGTCATAAGTAAATCAGAAAAACATGGAATGTATTACCCATCAGATTTATAGACAGGAGAATTTATGAATAAACAAGACATAGCACTGTGAGATGTAAAACAGATAATTTTGATTACATTAAATTTAAAAAGGTCTATTCAAATAAAATCAAGGTAGCAATGATTAAAAGAAGAAAACTGGGGAAAAAATTTTATACAGTTTCTTAGATAAAGATCTCATCTCAAATATCTACAGAATTTTGTCAGACTTCTAAGAATATGAGTCATTCCCCAACTGATAAACTGTCAAAAGATATGAACAGGCAGTTTTTGGGAAAAGAAATCAAATCTATAGTCATATGAAAAAATGCTCTGAATCATTACTGATTAAAGAAATACAAACTAAAACAACTTGGAGAGTTACCATCTCACACCAATTAGACTGGCTAAAATGACAGAAGGGTAAAATGACAAATGTTGGAAGGGGATATGGAAAAATTGGGATACTAATACACTAATAATAGAACTGTGAACCGATCCAACCATTTTGGAGAGCAATCTGGAATTATGCTCCAAGAGATTTTATAAAACTACGTATTCCCTTTGACCCAGCAACACCACTATTAGGTCTGTTTCCCACACCGATCAGGGAAAAAAAGAAAAGAACCCACATGGTCTACAATGTTTACAGCAGCATTCTTTAGGGTAGCAAAGAAGTGGAAATTGAAGGGATGCCCATCAATTGGGGAATGGCTGAATGAGTTGTGGTATATGATTGCAATAGGATACTACTCTCTGTAAGATAGTGCTGTAAGAAATGATGAGCAGGTTGATTATAGAAAAACATGAAAAGACTTGCATGAAATAATGAAGAGAGAAAGGAGCAAAACCAAGAGAACATTGTATACAGTAACAACAATATTGTTTGAAGAGTAACTGTGAATTACTAAGCTATTCTGAGTAATATAAATATTCAATTCAACTACAAAGGACCTACGAAGGAAGATGCTATTCACTTCTAGACAAAGAACTGATATATGGAAGTATGCATTGTATGGTTTCACATATCTGTGACAAATGTTGGCCTTCTATGGTTCAGGGTTGCGAAGGAGGGTGAGAGACAGCTCAGAACTCAAAATGTAACAAAAAAATGTAAAAAAATGTAAAACATAAAAAAAAAGAAATTTAAAAAAGAAAAAAGAAATTAAACAAACGGGGATGGCCTGCAAAAAAAAAAAAAAAAAACCACTGAAGAGTAGATAAATACCAGGAGCTCTAATGCATATGAAAACGTGTAATGATAAAAGATAATGATCCTATAAAGAATTTTGGCATTAACAGATACAGACATAGAACATCATGGGTAACGACAAGAACAAAG